TTTAGATCCTGGATTTTGTGTGTGGTCTAATGATGAAGTCTTTGTCATTTTGGGAAAGTCCCTGTTTAAAAAATATATCGTAGTTCTATTTTGAATGACTTTTATAAGATTTAGCCTCTCTTTTTACATTAGGTTTTTATTCTGTAAGCAAAAAATCTAAAAGTAATCACTGCCTACAGAATTCTTTAAAAGCACGCATGTGCTCTTCCTTTAATTCTCTGCCCTTCCTCCTCTCCATTGTGGAAACTAGGGCGGGGAAAGCTCAAAGGAAAAAAAAAATTAACTGTAATCCAACTTCCAAAGATAACTTTTAATGGCTTAATATAAATTCTTATATTTGAATGTTTTTATTTTAATTTCCGAGATTTTTTTCCTCTTGAAGAAACAACTGTTTTTAAATTTAATCTGCATACTGATGCTTCCTGGGCCTGTTTTGTGCCAAAAATTATGCTGGGTAATGTGAGGAGATATCGCAAAAGAAATATGGAGCATGGCATTATCTTTAAGTAGCCAGCAAGCTTGTAGAGAATTTCAGTTGAAATGCATGAAATAAGTAAATGCTGTTTCAATGGACATACTTTCTGTTAATATTCCCTGAAGGTTCAGAAGACTTCTTGAAAGGCCCCCTGTCTGAAGAAACAGAAGCATCAGACAGTGTTGATGGAGGCCAGGATTCTGTCATTTTGGATCCAGAGCGACTCAAGCCTGGGCTGGAGGAGGAGGACACGTACGTTTGATATACCTAGGGAGCTTGAGTTGGGGTGTGTGCACCTGTGGTTTAATTTAAACCATAAATTTAGACCATAGCAATTTCAGGTTTAATAGAATCTTGTTATATTACTTTTCATCCTCAATGAATTTTTACATCCCGATCTTTTTTCTGGGACGGGTAATATGTTCTGATGTTACAAAATTCCCGGCTGAGCCCTACACATATAACCTTTCAGCTTGGACTAGTTATTTTTAATATACTGGATTGTACATTGAAAAAAAAATTTTAGAAACATGAAAGAAGTGATCTTTTGGAAGAACTAACAGTTATTTCTCTGTTCAATTGCCTTATGGAACTCTCTTCTCAAAAACTTAAATATTGTTCTGGTGGTGTTCTGCTTTGAATCCATCAACAAATACTGTGCCCCTAATAGAGGCTTATCATCCAAATTGTTTTTTCACAGTGACTTTGAGGAAGACGACAGCCCCGACTGGGTGTCAGAACTGAAGAAGCAAGCTGGACTGCAAGGTGTATCTGATGGATAATGCCCAAGGGGGTGTTCCTGAGTCCCACTAGGAGATGCTGCAAATGAGGAATTCATGTTGGAATAATAATTAGTGTGCACGATGTATATTTTCCTTTGGAAACAGAATGAAGAGGGGGGGATTGTTAATATTTAAAATTGTTCCTGATTAGTATCATGGAGTATAAAAAATCTAGAACTCTGTGAGTTTTTGAAGTCAAGGGACAAGTTATAGCAGAATGGAATGAGCTTTGGGCTTTGCAGAACAGTAGAGCAGAAATTGGATGCTAGCTCTGCCACTAACTAGTTGTGTGACTGTGGGAAATTACTTAACTTCTTTGAGCCCCCCATTTCCTCATCCGTAAAATGAGGCTAACGATGCCTACCTCAGGGATGCTGACCATAGACCATTACAGCAGCCCTTATGTTATTATTGCAGTTATGATTTGGGTTTATTACCGTGTAACTCTTTTTGCATTTCCTAAAGGGTTAAGGATCTAAATATATTTAATTGTGACATAACAATATGTGCAGTTTTTCAATTAGACCTAGTTATGGGTAGTTTGAGGATCTTCACCAACTACCAGCTGTCCTTAAATACAGTCCCTCACAGGATGCACAGAAGAGGCCAGGGTGGAGGGCCAGCCATGGGAGGAGCGGCATGGGCTGCAGGTCTCTCAGAAGGTGGCAGTCCTGTAGGTGACAAAGGCATGAGGCCAAACGTGAGAAGATAGGGAAGTGTCAGAAACTGGAGAGTGATGTGGAACGAATGGAGGGACTCACAGTACACACATGCTAGGTACTGTCGTGTGTTAACCTCAGTTAATTCTATGATACTTCAGTGAAATGGAATATTTTACTAAAGAAGAAACAGGCTTTTTCCCAGTTGATCAGTTTTACCGGGATGTAAAACTGACTAATATAGGAAACAGCACTAAAGTAAAGAAAAGGGGAAAATACAGTAGGGACATTAACGAGCATCTGCTAAAATCTGGACTACATACATCTTTTAAAGATTTAACAGTTTTTTTAATTTTAACATGCAAAAACTGTGGTGTAGACCCCCATCCCCATCATACACTTTACTTACACTTAGAGGTATAGTCATTTTTAGTCTCCTCTGCTCTTGGCAGTCTCCTGCTCTTTCCTTGTTTCACAGGACCTTGACATTTTTGAGAAGTACTGTTTAGATATTTTGTAGACCATTCCTCAGTCTGGCTTTGTTTGATGCTTTTCTCATGATTGGACTGAGCTTAGCATTTGAGATGCTAAGGTGTGAACATTCCAAACCACCGAGCAAAGGGAACTTAAATTTACCTATAATTATTGAGAGACTGAATGAGTCTTGGATAATAAATCCTTTTGAATACCAGAGGGTTTGCAGAGTTTTGCTTTTAATACAATTTGAGAAGACAAATGGAATTGTCAGTTGATGATTATGAACCATAACCATTTTTGGTGATAGATTACTATATGATTTTTTTTTTCTTTTGAGACAGAATCTTGTTCTGTTGTTCAGGCTGGAGTGCAGTGGCAAGATCATAGCCCATTGCAGCCTTGAACCCCAGACTCCAGGGCTCAAGCTATCCTCCTGCTTCAGCCTCCCCAGTAGCTAGGACTACAGGCGCATGACACCGCGCTGGGCAATTTTTGTGTGTGTGTGTGTGTAGACAGGCTCTTTCTGTGTTACCCAGGCTGATCACAAACTCCTGGCCTCAAGCGATCCTCCTGCCTTGGCCTCCCAGAGTGCTGGAATCACAGACATAAGCCGCCGTGTACTGGTGGTGTATGATAGGGTGATCAGTAAGACTTTGAAGCATGAAAAAGATAACCTTGGGATAAAATTATATCAGAAAAGTGGGATGGAGACAACGTTTCAAGGAGGAAAAGTAATGATGTAAACTTTCTGGTCTTTAAGAATCTTGTGTTTTCTTTTTGATGGATGTGGCGGGTATGACACTACCGTGGATACTTGGATGTGTTCTACTCTTGTCAGTATTTACAACTGCAGAAAATTACATCCTTTTCAACTATTTAAACACATGATGAAACGTTTTAGACGGCAGCCTGATTGCAAATCGGGATTGGGGCATGGTCAGGAGGTGCGTGTGTGCTGACCACTGGGCCAAAGCCTGTTTCCTTAGAAGGACCAGGTGGGAGGCTGCCGGTTGTGGCCAAAAGAGTAGGATGAGGTTCCAGTGTCACGTCCACGTCTTGGCAATATTTGAGACTCTGCACAAGAAACCCTCTTCCTCTCTCCGTTTTGGGAGACTACTACCCTGCAGGGTTGTTGTACCGCACAGAGATAATGTACGCGAAGCATGTGGTGCGCGTTAAGCAAGACGCGGAGCGGTATTGTTGAGTGTTATGCAATGGAGTCCCGACCTAAGGCAGCGGGCGGTGGGTGACTCGGTCGGGTCGCCAAGCTCCCTGGCCTCCGACCCCTCTTCGAGGTGGACGGTGTGGACAGGTCCTCCGGCCACTCGGGCCCCGCCCGCGCTTCTCCGCGCGGCTCCGCCCAGGCCGCGGTAGGCGCAGCGGCGGGGACAACCGGATCCACCTGGACGCCTCGCTTGTCCCGCGGAGCCCGCGGAGCAGGTACGCTGCAGGTGGGCCGCCTTCGCCCTGGCCCGGAGTTGCCCCAGGGCTCCGGGAGCAGCGGGGGAAGGGGTTGGAATCCCGCCGGGGCTGACGGAGGTGGCAGAGGAGCTGCCTGGCGTCCCGGCCCCGCGTCGGTCTCCATGGCAACGCTCAGCACGCGGAGCTCTGGGGCTGGCGACAGCTCTGCCACCCGCCCGCCGGCCGCCTCCGGGGGTGGCCCTAGGGGAGAAGGATTTTTCCCAGACCTGGGGGCTTCCACCCCCTGGTGCCTCCTGGGCGGGAGAGTCGCGGGCCCTCAGTTCCCGGGCTGGTACCTACAGCCCGGATTCTGCGTCCGCCTCCCTCAGAACCGGGTCCTCGGGTGTCCACGGCCTCTCCTGGCTGCGGAGCTGGTTCCCCAGCCCTGTGCAGCCCATTTGTATCCACTTGCTACTCTGACATGAAATTATTTGAAAACAACCTGCCTGCTCACCCAATTTTTAAAAACCTGTGTTATGCCGCAACTGTAGCATAAAGGGGACATATATAGAAAAGCAATTTATAAATAAAGCCTCTGTTTCGGTCTGTAAGTGCTTGGCACCACCACACTCGAAGAAGTAGTGAAGTACCCAGGTGCCCGCGCCTGGGCAGAGTCCCCTGAACGTGGAGGCAGCAAATGCAGATTGTTAGGTCTGCGGTACCAGGAGCAGCGTGGCCAGGGTAGGGCGTGATTTTCCCAAATGGTGAACGACTCTTGGTAAAGTTCCAAACAAAAAGTGCAGTCAACCCTTGATTTACACGTAGTTGCATTTCTGGAAAAATCCAGTGTTACTTAAAACTGTGCAAAAAAGACTTCGTATTTAGATGTAAAATGGAGTTTGGTTCTAGCCCCAGATAATTATAAACGGATTTTTCCACGCACACGAATATATGGAAAGACGTTCAAGGTTGTAGGGCCACGGAAAAATCCTTTATTGTGCGCGACCGTCACTCGCATTGCAGAATCTTCGCATCTCAGGCCCCAACCACCTCTAAATGCCCTCTGGATCTCCGGAGAACAGAACTTCCCCGGCATATATTTCCAAAATGCCCCCTAGGGGGCAGTGCCGCCCCACTGAGAAAGGCTGGACTGTGAAACCACAGAAGCCTGAGGACATTCCTGCTTCTTATAGAGGGGCCAAGCACCGGAAATACACCTTTCATTCTCAGAACAAACTTGCAAAATAGGCACTGTTATTTCCATTTTAGAAATGAGGAAAGTGAGGTTTTGCGAGGTTAAGTGGCTTGCCCCAGATCACAAGACTACAGTGTATCAAAGCTGGGAGTCCACCAAGAAGCTCTGTGTCACTTTGGCTGCTACCTGTGGACACAAGGGAAGTTATTTGTCTCTGTCTTGGCAAGGCTGGAAAGTTGAGCAAAGCGGGTTCTTTTACATCTAGTCATCAATCTTCTGACTTTGTTAGTCTTTATGAGAAGTGTGTGGTACATTCCCATTGCTCTAATTGCAGGAACCTCTGCACTGGAGACCATGGATAACTATGATGTGATAAAGGCCATTGGGGAAGGCGCCTTTGGGAAAGCATACTTGGCTAAAGAGAAATCTGATAGCAAGCTCTGTGTCATAAAAGAGATCAATTTTGCGAAGGTAAAGTTAAGAAATTCAAATTCTTGTTACTTTTCAGTGGGATATTCAGCTGGCTTTTAATCCAATATGAAAAGGAGACATTTTTTTCCCTTTGAATTTTAAGCCTCAGTTGATTTTTGTTCATTCAGCTTCCTAAGTCCACTGTCCAACAGCAACCAGTGATCTTACTTTTTAAAAGAAAAGAAAAGAAAAGAAAGAATAGAAAAGAAAAGAAAAGAAAAGTAAGATGTCTCCATGGGTGCTAGGAGACATGGGTGCTAGGAGAGTGGCCTGCAAGGCCCAATGAGATGCCACCCTCCTCTATTGCTGACTTTTCACTGTGGTGCACTTCCTCTGACTGTCTACAGGGGGCTTTCTGCAAACATCCTAGCTAAGGTTGCTCCCCCAACCTCAATCATGCCTTATCACTCCACCCTGGTTTATTTTCTTAATAGCATTTATAATGCTCCAAACTTATTTAGCTCTCTTATTTCTTCCTTTGCTTATTGTCTGTCTCTCTCAGCATGCAAAACAGTGCCTAGCACATAATTGGTGCTCAAAAATTATTTATTGAGTGCATCGAATGAATGGAAGAAACCATAAATGTTAGTCTAACGATTTTGGAGAATAAATATATTTAATTAAAAAGGAATTATTTTGGCCAGAGTCACCTTAGTCAGTGTTTATGTTACCCTCTTTGGTGATATGTTAATTTCAAAATATATTAGGACAATAATATCCACTGTATGCAAGAATTAATTTTATTAATAATTGGTTGCCTTCTAGAGGATTTATAAATGACAGTAGCGTAAAAAGTTCCATACAAAGTGTACTACCCAAGTTGCACGGTGTGAATGTACTTAGTGCCACTGAATTGTACACTTAAAAATGGTTAAAATAGTATAAATTTTATTTTATCATGATAAGAAAATTATTTTAAAAACCTACCCAAATATACATTAAAGCTCATGTGTAGATGATTAGCTAGAGGGATAATGATTTCTTTTCCAATATAGGTCCCTTTTCATGGATCCATGGTATATTCATAATAATGTCCTCTTACTCTAGTGGCCTGTCATGGCTTCCTTCCATGACATTATTCCGTTCACTCTCTTTTGTTCATCTCACTGCTCTTTCTCAGGCAGTCTCCTCACCCTCTGTATGTCCCCAACCATATGTCCTTTGCTGACCTCTTTCTGCACCTTGTCACTTGGCAACCGCCTCGCTCCAGTGTTTACCAATAAGCAGATCACTCTTAAAACTCTCTCCAGCCCTGGTATCTTCCAGTGCCCTAGTTCTGCATTTCATCTACCAACTAGATATCTTCAGGTAACATGTGTGTTAGTAATCTATTGCTGAGTAGCATATTCCCCCAAATTTAGGGGCTTAAACAATAAACATTTATTATCTTGGAGTTTCTGTGCATCAGGAATTCATGGCGAGGATCATTGAGACCATCCTGGAGGCTAGCTACCACCACTGTACCCAAAATCAAGAAGGAATTCCTCACTGTTCTAAGCAGACCCCCTTTCACCTTTTGTGTGAATTTCATCAATGTTCTTATGATAGCCACGATCAAAACCTTGGGGTCATCTGTGAGTTTTTTTCTCTGTCCACATCCAATTACCTGCTAAATACTGTTGACTCTTCTCTTCCTGGAAGTTGCTTCATTCCTTTTGTCAATGCCCTGGGTCACTTGGATACTTCAGTTGCTTCTCATGGCTCCAGCCTTCATATGGCACAATTTTGATAGTGCTCCAGCCACACCCCAAAGCTTCACTGGGACACAAGTTGCAAAGGAAGAGATGGGCTAGTTTTGACTACATAAAAATATGAAATTTCTGTACTGCAAAACACCACTAACAAATTAAAAGAAAAATTTAAAAAGTCAAAAATATTTGCAAGTATTGACTAAAAGGTGCTAGCCTTTTATAAATCAATAAAAAGGCAAAACCCATAAAAGAAAAAGTCGTCATACAAAAATTTCAAACTCATTAGTAAACTAAGAAATACAAAATAAATCTATAAATATCACCTTTTGCTTATACAATTGAGGAGGATTAAAAAGAATATAGGCTTAGCACTTTGGGAGGCTGAGGCGGGAGAATTGCTTGAGGTCAGGAGTTTGAGACCAGCCTGAGCAAGAGCAAGACCCCGCATCTATAAAAACAAAAATTAGCTGGGCATGGTGGCATGTGCCTGTAGTCTCAGTGTCTTGGGAGGCTGAGGCAGGAGGATCGCTTGAGCCAAGGAGTTTGAAGTTGCAGTGAGCTATGATGACGCCACTGCACTCTAGCCAGGGAGACAGAGTGAAACCCTGTCTCAAAACAAACAAACAAACAAACAAATTATAAAAGTGGGGGAAAACAGAGAGAAATTTATCAATTATGTATGAAATGAGCCTTAGAAGTATTCATACCCTGTTTGTATTAATTGACAGAGGTAAAGTCCACAATATGTTGTAAAGATAAAAAAAATCAGGCCATAAAAAATTATATGTGTGTATATATGTATGTATGAATGTGTATGTGTGTGTACTGTTGATGTTAAATATATATACACACATACATATATAACATTAACTGAATATTGCTGGCTGATGAGATTTCACATCTGTCTGCATTATCAGAATTATTAATATGGAGCATATATTTTTTTAAATTATGAATTATTTGTATAAGCAGAAAAAGTGGTCTTTATTTTGAAAAAGAAAAGAAAAGAAACACACATCCTAGGACCGAGGAGTTCTACTTTTGGGAGTTTATTTACAGATGTATAGATAGAAAGCAACTTAAATGTCTCACAGTAGGGAGTTGGTTAAGTAATTTATGAAACACTAAGCAACTCTTAGAAATTATGTTGTAGGTGAAGCATTGACGTGGGAAATATTGCAATGTTTGCTAATTGAGAAAATAGTATGTGCAGACTAATGCAATCTTTGTAAATGTGCATATATTCTCTGCATATATAGATATGTATATACCTACACATATGTTCACATATGTACAAAGAAAAAACACATCAGATTGTTATTCTTTAGGTGGAAGGTGGGATTATGAGTAATTTTTGCCTTGTGCTTTTATATCATTTCACTCTTCAGTTAGCTTTGAGACCCTCTCAGATTTATTCCCAA